ACCACACCCCAATATCGGCCACACTATCACCACACCCCACCCCAATATCGGCCACACTATCACCACACCCCACCCCAATATCGGCCACACTATCACCACACCCCACCCCAATATCGGCCACACTATCACCCCACCCCAATATCGGCCCACACTATCACCACACAACACCCCAATATCGGCCACACTATCACCACACCCCACCCCAATATCGGCCACACTATCACCACACCCCACCCCAATATCGGCCACACTATCACCACACCCCACCCCAATATCGGCCACACTATCACCCCACCCCACCCCAATATCAGCTACACTATCACCACACCCCCAATAACGGCCACACCATCACCCCAACCCCAAAATCGGCCACACTATCACCACGACCCCATACCGACCACACGATCACCACACCCTACCCCAATATCGGCCACACTATCACCACACCCCACCCCAATATCGGTCACACTATCACCCCACCCCAATATCGGTCACACTATCACCACACCCTACCCTATACACTTCTACTTTCATCCGTCAAACTTAAACATCGTGTCCCATCCGGTCTACATCGACTCGACGGTTACCGTCGTCCCTTTGACGAGAGGGTGGGACCGGTTGAATGACATTCCTATCCCTGATGTCGGCAGATTGTGGGATAAATGTTGGCAGATATTGGGATTAAGCCAAACCGTTTTCTGGATTAGGGCTCGCCGATCTCATTAGCATACTAGACCTGGAGGCGATGATAATTCGCAAATTTAATTAGATCTGCGCTTAGTACTGTAAAACGTTCTTTGACGCGCACACAATATGGTCATATATATATATATATATATATATATATATATATATATATATATATATATATATATATATATATATATATATATATATATATGCATATATATATATGCATATATATATGCATATATATATATATATGGGTGGGTGGGTGTGAATTTCAAGATCAATGGTCTCAAGGACTATACATCTGACTAAAATATCTCACGGCAAAGTAAATCAAATATTTACTACATTTTTAAAAATGTTACAGATTTGCCACATTTCATTTAACATTTATGTTTAAAAATTGATTTATCTTCGTTTTGTAATTACTAATATAACAGATACAGGTGATATAAGTATTTGATATAACTAACATTTCACCTTAAACTGAACTTGAGTATATGTGTGACAAAGAAACATTCCGAAGCCAGCTGTTTACGTAATGTCACAAAAGAAATATACAGATCATTAACTAGAGTACATTTTTTCTAAATTAATATATTAACCCATTTCTAAACCGACCTCTTTACTTACTTATTCATCCACAAACCTTGCAATAACATTCAGCTTTTAGAACTTTTAGAAGGTTTACATTAAATCACAATTATCATTCAGTATATTATCATATGATCGAAACGTTTATTTTAGAACTTGTGTTTTTTTACTAGCGCGATGTGACAGTAAACTACCTGTGTCTGTTCCCTTGTCGCTAGACTTGCCTCGGCCGTAAAAATGGTTGTTTCCCTTTACATATAATTTCGCGATATTTTTTTTTATGATTTGAATAATGGTTTTGCGAAAGATTTATAATCTGTAAAATGGTTTTTAAATTATTAAAAAGCCGAGCACGAGATTTAAAAAAAATGATTTTCGGATATCTTTCTGTCAATTTCTGGTGGAGTTTTTAAGTGAAGTTGATTTTTTTATTGGATACTCAGCTAATCCACATGTGGATACACTAAATCCTACAGCACTGCCAGTATCCACGAAGACTGGATACAAGAAACATCCTATATTTATCATTGATGTGCGAGTATGCAGAAGTTTTCAGTTAAGGAAGATTCGGGTGTCTGTTGGTGACATTACAATAAGAACAAGAATTCATTTCAGTTTTGTTGCTTATTTTCGTTATTATTAGTACTACAGCTATTCTACAATTGTTACGTATTATCAGCACGATAGTTTTCAATGTTGTAAAATTCGGCTTATCATATCTAAAGATCTACATCTTTAAGTAAAAATGTGTTTTACTTGAGAAGCAGCACTGGCATTTTGTTTTGATCATCAAAATCTTCAAAAACACATCTTAAGGTTCTTATACCTAACAATAGATTTAAATCCAACTATTATACGTAAGATTTGAAGGCTAAAGTGTGTGTAAATTGCGAACTATAGACAAACTACCAAGGTTTGAACTTTAGTTTGACGTGTGGTTAAAGTGCGAACAATGGGCGAACTATCAAATTTTGAAGTTGTGATTTGACGTGTGGGTAAAGTGCAAACCATGGACAAACTATCAAATTTTGAAGTTGTGTTTTGACGTGTGGGTAAAGTGCGAACCATGGACAAACTGCCTAGGCTCGAGGTGGTTGGAGATGAAGTGCTTCGCCGTTATGACGTCATAGACCGTACCCAGACGCCGACCTTTGAACTCCCCGAGAAGGAAGATGGCTACATGAATTTTAATTTGGACGAGAAGCCAAAATGGCTGCAGACAATGGAGGATAATCAGAATAATATTGGATTCACTTATCTGAAGGTACAGAAGGTTTTGTTTTAGTTGTACATGTGGGTATTTGTATTGTCTAGTGGGATGTAGAGTTTGGCTTGATATTTTTACTGTCAATTATTGCTTGTTTTTGAGATTTTGTGTTGTTGTTTTAGTAAGTAATCAAGGGTGGGTTTTTGTGCTGGATGTCTATATGATAGGCTATTTGTATTGTTTGTTTAATTTTAGGTAGAATCGGGCTTTTGTTTCTGTTGTCCAGTGGTAATAAGTGATTGTTTCTGTTGTCTAGTGGTGATGAGTGAGAATGGACTTTGGGTGATTGGTCAGGCGTATGCTGAGATAAGCTTTTGTTTTCGTTATTTAGGCGAAAATGTATAGTCCTGCTTACTTATAGGCATACGTGTTTATGAGTTTTATAAAACGTTTCTACTTGAACCTCATGTATTTATCAATTTGTACGTTATTCCATGTTGCATGTTAGTATATAGTCCTACATATGTAGTTGGATGTACGTTGCTGTATAGTGTTCGTATGTATATAGTCAGTGTATAATATAGTCAAATAGATTTAATTAGATGTACGTTGCTGTATTGTGTACCTATGTATATAGTCCTACTTGCCAGATGCTATTGGGTTTGAGTGCTCACGATGGTGTATACCTGCTTGTCTTGAACAAGACACTATAAATTTACCATTACAATAAACAGTGTACTGTCCTCCACCCACGTTCACACACACACATGTTATAGAACTTGATTAAAAAACAGGAAAAGTGGGTTTTTTATTTTAGTTAAAGAAGTAAATTAATGTAAAGATCAGAAGGATAAAAAAGTTTATATATGTAGGCCTATGCTTTGTCTTGGAATAAATTTGGCGTTTTGTAGTTTCTGACGAAGACCTTAGGTCTATACTGGAAGACATAATAAAACACAACTTTTCATAAGTACAATGTTCATGTTTTAATGACGTCTTATGATCTCCATGACAACAGAACCCACTCTACGACGAAGTATGGCCTTACCCTCACCCACCTACCGGCCCATTCCTGCTGGGAGACTTTCAGGTCAACTCTGCTGCCTCTGCCTCCACGGAGCAGATGGACGAGAAGGGGCGGCGCAGACGACGGTGGATCACGTGTCTGCTAGTCACGCTGTGCATTCTGATTCTGTTTTTCATCGCCGGTATCATTGCCATCGCCTTCCTGGCTGCGTTAAAGAAACCTGGTGAGTAGTGCTCTAAGTCCCGAGTTCGAACCCTTGGAGAACTGAGGTTCGATAGCTGGGGACAGCCACTTTGCTAGGAGAGACAGCTCCGAAATCAAACAACCTTTTCCTTGTAGTTTGTTCTTGGTTGGACAAAGACTATGGAAGCAAGTCCAAAAAGAAAAGCAGGTTGAAATCGGAGTCAACGGCCTATATAGTACGTAACATGTTGACACGTAATACTTCCTTGTGTTGGAACTATTCCCTCCCAACAACAGTGTGAGGGTGGGTTGGTTAAGATGATACCACGTGACCGGTCAGCTCCTGTATTTTCATTTGTCAGTCTAACCAACTAGCTATAGTCTGTTTCTACCATACTATCTTGAACTAACGTCATCACAAACAGTTAAGAACGAAGAAAAGGGATAAAAAGTGCAAAATACCTTAGGAGAAATATCCTCTAGATGTCAATCTATACAATATATTTCACAGCAAAATAACTTAAGCATTCAGAACATGAAAGAAACCATACCACTTGTCAATTACCTGCCTATGCAGCTAGTACTATGCACCGAAAAAATAACCCCCACCTACCCCCGTCCCTCTTGACAATATTCCGGTTAACACATTTGCCGGAAGTTTTAATTGTTGTGTCTTTTTTTTCTGTTTCAGACGTTCAAACCAGTGCCTTAGTTCAACTTTCAGGCAACACAAATGGCGGAGATAATCTCACGGCGGGCGTGACCACAACGGTTAATCCTGGCTCGGCGAACGCGTCAGAGACTGTAGTGACGTCATCAATCACGACAACGCCGACGCCACCATCTGATGAATCGACCCAGGGTTCGGGTACCAGCTCAGCATTCGTAACGTCAACTACACTGCCGATATCGACGACAACAACTGTACTCACTACGACGACAACAACGCCAACGAGCTCAACGACGACGCCTACCACGACGACTGCAATGCCAGTTACTACAACAACAACAACGCCCTCTACAACAACAACAACGCCAAGCACAACGACAACTACGCCGACTACAACAACATCAACACCAACTACAATAACTACACCTACCACCACAACAACCCCGACAACAACGACAACAACGCCGACTACAACATCAACAACAACTGCCTCTACGACCATAGAAACACCCACTACCACAACAACACCCATCACCACCACAACAACACCCACAACAACAACAACGCCAACAACCACAACAACACAAACTACTACCACCACAACGCCAACAACAACTACTACTATAATTCCCTCTACAACAACAACTACATCAACTACAACGACAACAACACCGACGACCACAACTACCACGCCAACTACAACTACTACAACGCCAACAACAACGACAACTACGCCTACTACCACGATGACAACACCGACGACCACAACTACAACGCCAACTACAACTACTACAATACCAACTACAACTACTACAACGCCATCTACAACTACAACAACACCAACTACAACGACGACTACGCCTACTACCACGACAACAACACCAACGACCACAACAACCACGCCAACTACAACTACTACAACACCAACTACAACGACAACTAGGCCCACTACCACGACAATAACACCGACGACCACAACTACCACGCCAACTACAACTACTACAACACCAACTACAACGACGACTACGCCCACTACCACGACAACAACACCAACACCAACAACTACTACTACAACGCCAACTACAACTACTACAATCCCAACTACAACTACTTCAACACCAACTACAACTACTACAACCCCAACTACAACTACTACAACCCCAACTACAACTACGACAACGCCAACTACAACGACAACAACACCAACTACAACTACGACAACGCCAACCACAACGACAACAACACCAACTACAACTACTATTACTACAACGCCAACTACAACTACTACAATCCCAACTACAACTACTACAACCCCAACTACAACTACCACAACGCCAACTACAACGACAACAACACCAACTACAACTACGACAACGCCAACTACAACGACAACAACACCAACTACAACTACTACAACGCCAACTACAACTACTACAACGCCAACTACAACTACCACAACCCAAACTACAACTACTACAACACCAACTACAACTACTACAACCCCAACTACAACTACTACAACACCAACTACAACTACTACAACCCCAACTACAACTACTACAACCCCAACTACAACTACTACAGCCCCAACTACAACTACTACAACAACAACTACAACTACTACAACACCAACTACAACTACTACAACGCCAACTACAACGACGACAACGCCAACTACAACGACGACAACGCCAACTACAACTACCACAACGCCAACTACAACTACTACAACGCCAACTACAACTACCACAACCCCAACTACAACTACTACAACGCCAACTACAACGACGACAACGCCTACAACTACGACAACAACACCGACGACCACAACAACAATACCTACTACGACCACCACTACACCTACTACTACAACGACACACACGACTACAACAACAACACCAACTACCACAACAACAACACCTACAACTACAACAACAACACCTACCTCAACAACCACAACTCCCACAACGACGACAACAAAGACCACCACAACACCAACGCCCACTACGACTACCACAGCCACCACAACTACACTTCGAACAACGACAACATCTTTAACGACAACTACCACTCGACTTACAACATCGACGCCATCCCCTTGTAAGTAATTATTTTATCAGTTTAATTATTTTTACCAGTTTTAATATTTTAACCAGTTTAATTATTTTAACCAGTTTAATTATTTTAATCAGTTTAATTATTTTACCCGTTTTCCTACTAAACCAATTTACCTCTATATCCCCTTGTCTATACCACACCAGCAACGCCCTTGCCATAAACATCAGCAACGCCCAATACAATATGTACTATTACATTAACAACAAATCAACACACATCATAAACACATTTAGAAATATACTCTCAATCTGTTTAACATATTATCTCCTTTAATATGCACATATAATGATAGTAACTCGATATAATATTTAACAAAATATTAAAATTGAGATCCTAAAACAATATTTTATTTAACGAAATATCAAGATTACGATAGTTACACAAAATTGTATTTAACGAAATTTCCAGGATTGTAAAACACGTTATTATTTCTAACAAATTCTTCACAGTACGATAATAAAAACACGATATTATAATTCTCACCAATTGTGTATCAATGACGATTGTAAAAACACGACATTCTATCTAATGAATTGTCTAGCAATGACGATTGTAGAAACACGACATTACAATTCTATCTAAAAAAAACTGTCTTTTGTAAAAACACGATATTATAATTCTATCTAAAAAACTGTCTATTGTAAAAACACGATATTACAATTCTATCTAACGAATCTTCTAGCTATGACGATGGTCATCTCGACGTTTCCGGCATACGGCACCGCCCAGATCACGTGCACGCTGATCGCAGGCTCCTACCAGATTCTGGCCATGTTCCGTGCTGACGTCACGTCCTCCACCGGCTTCTCCCCCCTGGTGGCCTTCACCCCCACTGCGCCCCCCAACTTGAGCGTGGATGGAGCTTTGTACGCAGCGAATCAGTGAGCTTAAGTTTGGATCATCTGTAGTTTATCTTATCTCGCTTACACACTAACATCATCATTGCCCTCTTAACTCACCCATGCCCTCTTACATCATACATGCCCTCTTACGACATGTGCCCTCACCTATGCCCTTTAACTCACATATGCCCTATTACCTCACCCATGCCCTCTTACCTCATCCGTTCCCTCTTACCTCACCCATGCCCTCACCTATGCCCTTTAACTCACATATGCCCTCTTTCCTCCCCGTGCCCTCTTACCTCAAATATTCCCTCTTACCTCACATATGCCCTCTTACCTCATCCATGCCTTCTTACCTCACCCATGCCCTCACCATGCCCCTTACCCCACAATGCCCTTTTACCTCACCATGCCCCTTACCCCACAATGCCCTTTTACCTCACCATGCCCCTTACCCCACCATGCCCTTTTACCTCACCATGCCCTCTTACCTCACCATGCCGTCTTACCTCACCTATGCCCTATAACCTCACCATGCCCTTACCTCACCCATTCCCTTTTACCTCACCCTTTACCTCACCCATGCCTTCCTACCTCACCCATGCCCTCATCCATGCCCTCTTACCTCACCATACCCTCTTACCTCACCCATGCCCTCTTACCTCACCCATGCCCTTACCTCACATATGCCCTCACCCATGCCCTTTACTTCACCTATGCCCTCTTACCTCACCCATGCCCTCTTATCTCACCCTTTACCTCACCTATGCCCTATAACCTCACCTATGCCCTTACCTCACCAGATCCACCGTGGGCTTCACTCACTCCTTCACCCTCCAGTTCAAGCGTGTGAGTTGTGTTGACGAGTCGACCTACAGGTGCCGAGCTCTCGTCCCCAACGCTGTGCTCTCTGCCGAGGGTGTGGCTAAAATATTCCGTGAGTTACCTCCCCCAGATTCCCTCCGGACAATTATTTGTTGTCGTGGTCCAATGTGTTGTTGTTGTGGATGTTAGGTTAGTCTTGCGATATGTGCCAGAGTTATGTTAAGTAAGTCTTGCGATATGTGCCAGATTTTTGTTGGGTAAGTCTTGCGACATGTGCCAGAGTTTTGTTGGGTAAGTCTTGCGATATGCGCCATAGTTTTGTTGGGTAAGTCTTGCGATATGTGCCACAGTTTTGTTTGGGTAAGTCTTGGAACATGTGCCATAGTTTTGTTAAGTTAGTCTTGCTATATGTGCCATAGTTTTGTTGGGTAAGTCTTGCAACATGTGCCATAGTTTTGTTGGGTAAGTTGCGACATGTGCCAGAGTTTTGTTTAGTAAGTCTTGCGATATGTGCCATAGTTTTGTTGGGTAAGTCTTGCGATATGTGTCAGAGTTTTGTTGGGTCAGTCTTGCGATATGTGTCAGAGTTTTGTTGGGTCAGTCTTGCGATTTGTGCCATAGTTTTGTTGTTTAAATCGTGGTCCTAGATGTTGTTGTGGATTTTGCGTATGTTTTGCTATATGTGCCATGTGCCACAGTTTAGTTGGGTAAGTCTTGCGACATGTGCCATGGTTTTGTTGTTTGAGGTTTGCGATATGTGCTTGAGGTTTCATGTATCCGACTTTTGTTGTGTTTTTGTTGTGGGCCTAGTTGTCCTAGCACTGTCATAACCTCCGTCCTCCGACCCCCTAACCTTTGACCTCACTGCTCCAGTCCGACGGGAAGACCAAGAGACCCGGGTCATCGTCCCGTCCCCCATCAGCGCCAACCAGGTGGTGACCATCTTCTGCACGTCCATCGAGTTCCGGAACTTCACGGTCGTTTGGCAGCTCCGGCGTGCCCTTGACCCTAACTTCGCCAACTTCGTGTCCATCGCCTTCCCAGAGCAGAATCTTTTTGCTGAGGACTTGGCGGGATCAACGAAAGACATTGGGTAAGTTGCGACATGTGCCAGAGATTTGTTGGGTAAGTTCTGCTACATGTCCCAGAATCTTTTTGCTGAGGACTTGGCCGGCTCAACGAAAGACATTGGGTAAGTTGCGACATGTGCTAGAGATTTTTTGGGTAAGTTCTGCGACATGTGCCAGAGTTTTGTTGGGTAAGTCTTGCGACATGTGACAGAGATTTGTTGGGTAAGTCTTGCGACATGTGCCAGAGATTTGTTGGGTAAGTCTTGCGACATGTGCCAGATTTTTGTTGGATAAGTCTTAAGACAAAGGCTAAAGTTTTGTTTATAAGTTATTGAGACATGTGCCTAAACTATGTTGGGTAAAATCTGGGACATGTGCTTGAAATTTGTTGCGTAAGTCTTGCGACATGTGCCAGAGTTTTGTTGGGTAAGTTCTGCAACATGTGCCAGAGTTTTGTGGGTAGGTCTTACGACATGTGCCAGAGTTTTGTTGGGTAAGTTCTGCAACATGTGTCAGAGTTTTGTTGGGTAAGTCTTGCGACATGTGACAGAGATTTGTTAGGTAAGTTCTGCAACATATGTAGCAGAGTTTTGTTAGGTACGCCTACGACATGTGACGGAGTTACATTAAGTTTAGAACCATGTATAACCTATCTAGCTTATCCAGAAATATGGGGTAAGTTCTGCGACATGTACCCGGGTTTGCAAACATGTATAACGCAGGCTGTGTTAACCACGCAATGTCGATGTATGCCCAGGACGTTATAACAGATGGACTCTATTTAGTCTGCCCAATATGTCATTTGTGAGACGGAGTGGTCTAGCGGTAGAGAGCTGGACTGCCAACCCGTAAATCTCGAGTTCGAATCCGGGTTCAAGTCAATAGACCGTCCCTGAGTCCAACCAACTCTGATGGGTACCTAGTGCTGACCACACTATCTCTTCATATGCCGAGGTCACAGAAACAAGTGAACTCTACTTCAAGTGCCCTATAGACCGTCGGGTTTGAAAAGGGAACTTTACTTACTTTTTTATGTCTTTTGCACGAACGAGGAAAGATAAAGATCATGATATTCTATGGTCTGTAACTGGTAAAAAAAAAGCTATCGATTCCTATACGATTTTGTACCTATTTATATCAATTGTATTATTTATTATACTAGCTTCATTTTTAAAATAAACTTTATGATGTCAGTTTTGAAAAATTTAATATCCTTAAACTAGCAAAAGTGTAATCTATTTTTATCCTCCATCCCCCGCCCCCCCCCCCCCCTCCCGCACAGCCCTTGTGTATACCGCAGCAACAACGTGGTGGTACGGACCTTCAACTTGCAGTCTAATGGCGACGAACTCCGATGTCTTTCCGGGTCAACTGGGGGCGTGTCTGACTCCACCCAGCTTGTGGTCGTTCCTTGATTGGTCAAGAGATGTGTCATTCACTCATTCACTAGTTCATCATGGCGATTTATCATTATTATGCAAGTTTATCATTCTGTGTATTGGTATTATCAAAATACCACTTAATGTCACTAAAATAGTTGTAAGTTGTTAGGAGTTTGGTCAGACATTAGGGTTAGAGCTATGGTAGGACTTGAGTTATTATTTGCGTTAGGGGGTTAGGATTAGGATTGGAGCTATGGTAGGACGTGTTAGGGATTGAGTTAGGGGTAGGGATAGGGTTCAGAGGCGTAGCTAGGGGGGAGACATATGTCCCGGGGCGCCGACCGTAGGAGGCGCCAAAATGGGTTGGAAAAACAAATTGAAAGTTTGAGGGGGGTGTGAAAATCAAAAGTTTGGGAGGTGCAAATCGAAAGTTTGAGGGAGGGGTGCACATCAAAAGTTTGGGGGGGGGGGGGCAAATCGAAAGTCTGAGGGGACGGGTGCAAATCGAAAGTTTGTCCCCGGGCGCCGGGAAGGGTCGCTACGCCTCTGATAGGGTTAGAGCTATGGTTTAGGCAGAAGATTCTATTACTGTGTCATTATCAAACCTTATATGATTATGTCAATACGTCACGAGTATGCAAATGTGTCACATTTTTATTTGTAGTGACTTTTGTCAGAATATAATTCTGCAAATTATCACATCCTAATTGATCATGTCGATTTCCAGATCATAATTATCCAAATTGGAATAATCTTTCTTGGTCATGGTAATTTATATACATTAGTAATATGTCTTCATAATTTTATTGATCATGCTATTTTGTCATACATTAATATATAAAATATGAAAATTCCATAACTTAATTAATCATACTAGTTTTTTATAACTTTGTCATAACTGAATTAATCATATTAATTAGCCTTCATTAACCGGTGAATTAAGTCGTTAATGACGTTTTGAAATTAGAATTTTTTTTCTGCAATTCGTCAGTTCCATTCTTATTAAAAATGGAAGCCAGAACAAATGAGGAAATAATATCACCAAACCCGGATTTGGATCAATTTCCATGATGAAATCACAATATACTTATAGCGACAAGGCAGTTAATTTTGATAGACATTGAAGAACTACATTATTGCCAGTGTGCACTTCACATCAATGGTATTCTTGCAAAGTATCAACTTTTTCAAGAACGATTTTGTAAGATTTCGTACATTTGGATTCCATACTTGCAAAGGTGATCTAATATATCACATGCTCTCCAGTTCCTATAACAGATCTAACTGAAGATAAACGACTTCCAGAGAATTCTAATCGACTTACAAAATGGGAAAATGACATTTTTTGTTTATATTTGTTATGATATGAATTCATTTATTATATTGGATTAAAAAATTCCCAATTATTTAACTTGAACATTTGAACTCTGAAGAGCTATGCGCCTTGCTATACCACTGTTATATATATATATATATATATATATATATATATATATATATATATATATATATATATATATATATATATATATATATATATATATATATATATATATTGATATTGATATTGATATACCACTATTATATCATATTTTAGTTTTTTAATTATTCAACTTGGAGTTGCGAATTTAGATATGACCTTCTCGACGACTTTAATTTAGAAATGTTTCTCTCGGTATCGATACAGTTTGTTTAGAGAATGAATTCAATCACTGCATCCCCCTACGTGTCTGTTATCAACAGCGTCAATATTTATTGACAAAGTGTGTAATAATAACTAATAAAGTAGGGGGGTGAGGTGGGACCGCCCATTCGACACCAATGGTGATTGACGTCTTCTGGACAGTTCCCTAAAGCTGAAGATAATTATAATCCGCCTGATCCACGTTGATCACAGATTAATAAATGACTCAATATTCGGCGAATTTTTTATAAAAGGTAACGCCATTTGTATGAGCAGAAATATGAACGGATACTAACTGTGACTTTGATGGTGACTCCGGTGGTGATTTTGGTGGTGACTGATGGTGACTTCAAAGGCGACTTTGATGGTGACTGATGGTGACTGATGATGACTTTGATTATATTGTGCAGCGATTCAAAGGTTTCCATTCGAAACACAAAACCCAGGAGGCTTCTCACCAGAAACCCATTACAAACGTGCATTCATCTTTCTTTATACTGGCTCCACCTGGTTCAAGGATGGCATTAAGCCAAGAGGCTCACAACATTTTGGCCTCCTGCAAAGACTAGCACTCCATGACTTTCTAGCATGTTTTAACCAAACGTTGGTCAAAACCAAATTTTTGTCACAAACAACCATTAAAAAAGATAATAAATTGTTCAATTATTAAAATAAACGTCATTTATTTCTTTTTCTAAAAAACAATTTTGTTTTATAATGTTTATAATAATAAATGTTATTAAGAATAAGATGGTTGGTTTTGTTGTGTTATAATAATAAATGTCATAAAGAATAAGATGGTTGGTTCTGTTGTATATGGATTATGTTGATTGATGTCCATTGGATGAAAATTAATCCTTTAAAAAAACGTTGTTTCATCACAGCAATAATTTAGTAGCAAACCCACAAGGTTTTGGTATATTTTTTTGTAAAGAAGTTTACCCACACCACAACACTATAGTGAATCTTCAGGTCTGTCGTGTTAGACATAATGTGAATGATGTAGTCTATTATGTGACAGACGATTAATGGTGTACCATTTTACAGACGAATGATGAAGTTTACTGTGTGAAAGGCAAATGCTGAAGTGTACCATTTTACAGAAGAATGATGAAGTGTCCCATTAGGTTAATGATGAAGTGTACCATCAGACTAATGATGTAGTGTGTCATCGGACAATTGATGAAATGTACCATCTGACGAATGATGTAGTATTCAATCAGACAAATGATGTAGGGAATAACGTGACAGACACATGATAAAGTGTACCAACAGACTAACGATGTAGTATAGCAAGCTATAGAGCCCTGTAATGACTTGTACAATGTGGAGATGTGGAGTACGAACTGGTCAAGTACTGCGGCACGATGCCATGGTGCTGGACGCCGCCGGTCCGACACCGACCACAGATGGAGTACTGGACATCCTGATGACGTGTTCGGGTCTGACTGGCGCCTCGTATGTCTGGAATCACGGTACGGCCGGTGATGCTAATGCTTTGATGACCTACGCCGGAAGTAAAACTTTCTTTTCATTTTTTGTCACGTCAATTTCGAAAGATTTAAATGCGTACATTTTACTTTTAAGTTAATTAATAAATTTATAAACATTAAAATTTGTAAATAAGTAATATTAAATTCATCTTTAAAGTCAGTTTTAGACTATGTATATCAAATCTAATTTTACTAAAATTCACTTTTTAATCACAAAATTTTGTAATTGTTTACTACACGTACGCCAGTTACACTAAAAAAATTGCTGAAAAATTCTAAAACTAAATTAGGAAACAAAATCAAAAAACAAAAACAAAAAAAAGAAATTGAGAAATGTGCTAAAAACGAGGATAAAATTAATAGTCTAAAATAAAGTAAAGGCAAGTCAAAATGTGTCATTTAGAACAAACATAAAAATTACGTAAGATTGAACAATTCTTCTTCTTCTGCGTTCTTAAGAACAATTCTAAAACAAGCAATCCAAACTAAACTACGATATACTAAAAGTCTAAAATATTTAATTAATAAAAAAAAAATCTCAAACGCCAACAGAAGAATCCAAAACTCGAATCAAGCAAGTAATTAAAACGTTAAAAAATTTAACCAACCTAATCAATGTCTTCACCTACTCAACATACCAGGGGAAGCTACTCTCGTGGGCAGCAGGGGGTGGTACGCCACCAAACACGTCCGGTTACTGCTCGACCTCTCAAGCAACCCATCCCCACACCCCAGAGGTTCAAGGCGCCTTACGGGTCCCGGGGGGTACTCTCGTCTGTCTAGTTTAGCGTACACGCTAGGAATCTGCAAGTTACATTTAGAAATCCCCCTCGATGGTAGAGAGTTTAAGTACTCCAAAAACTCTTCACTCACAAAATTGTTCATATCGCTGGAAAATGTGATGTTTTTTCGATTCAGGTCAATCTGACTTAAGGAGTAATTATCGTAGAGGTTGGTTTGTGATACCTCTGTGGAGATGGTGCCTTGGGGGGTTGGTGCGCGGTGGTGGTGGTGGTGTTGGTCTGGGGGGTCTGTGTTGCAAGTTTCGTCACGTGATGAGTAGATTGAAACGTTCTGGCCGGAACGTTGGCTGGTCTGTGAGCAAGACATGTAGGAGGTCGTAGTCTCGGGCTGTGTGGGGTTGGGGTGTGTGGGGTCGGGGTGTGTGGGGTCGGGGTGTTTGGGGTCGGGCTGTGTGGGGTCGGGGTGGTTCAGGTGATGGTCTGGGTGTGGGGGTGGGAGCGAGAGTTCGTGTGGGTTTTGTGACGTAGCCTGCATTTTGTCATCTGATGCTATAGGTTGCTCATTGATTACGTCAGAGTTTAAGGTAAGTTCCTCGGTATAACCTATGCCCAATGGAGGTTCCTTTTCTTCTGTGTGTTGTTCGTTTACGAAAAATGTCGTTGAGCGTTGAGTAGATTCGATATCGGAGATATGTATCTCACTTTTTTGTCTGTAGTGAGTTTCGTCCGTCAAAAGCTGCTGGTCTTGTTTATGATCCAACCCTGAACCAGACAACCCTGACCTTGACAACCCTGAACCTGGTAACCCTGACCTTGGTACCTCTGACCTCGTTAGCTCCGGCACCTGCGACCCAGCCAGGCCATCAAGTTCTAGAGTGCTGCCTGTCAACTCATTACGTTCCTTCATGACGTCTACTTCAGCTATCAACTCCACCGATGCCTCATCATCTTCTGTGGGCACGCCGACCTCCCTTAGCGTATCTACAGCTACGCATCCATCCTTAAGCAGGACGTCTGTTTCCGCCAAGGTCACCATGCTGGCTCCACCCTCCACCACCGTGACGTCAACTTCCGCAAACGTCTCCGCATCTTCACCACCCGCGTCAGTCGTTACGTCAGCTTCCGTCAATGTGTCGGCAGTTACGCCGTCGTCTAGCACCGTACTGACGTCATCCACCAACCTCCTGCTAGACAAACTACCACAACCACACCTCACCACTGAGCTGCGTACGCCTTGGCTCCTTACACTGTTGGCGTCACAACTATCCAACAAACTTGACACACGCTCCACGCTACCGTGAGTGGAGCCAACAGCATCACGCATAGCTTCAGCCTCGCTTGCTCCTTTATTCTCAGCATGGTCAAAAGACTTCTCCGACACGGAATCTTTCATTTCTACACTGTGAAAACGACGAAGAGTTTTTCCGTTGATCAGTGTAGAGTTCTGACGTTGAGGTAAAGATTTTGAACTCTCCGAAGTCTGGATTTGTTTTTTGTTTGTATTGACGTGTCCTTGTCTGACCAACCCGCATGGGGGGTGAAGTGAAGCAGACACCAATCCGGGTGTGGTGTGAAGTGAAGAATTCACCAACAAGGATGGGGGATGAAGTGAAGAGTTCACCAACACGGACGGGGGATGAAGTGAAGAGTTCACCAACACAGATGGGGAATGAACTGAAGAGTTCACCAACGAATGTCGACGTTGATTTGACATCACCTCACCTGTGTTATTTACGCATGCGCTGAATTCATTCGAGGAACTAATCAAACGACTGCTCGAAGTTTTGGAACAGATGTGAGGTAGATGATGAGACATGACGTTTTTTTCAAGACATGTTTGGTGTCTTGGGCTTGTTAAATCAGACACGAGACACGACGACACGATGGTGCTGGTAGGTTCCTGGGTTCGCAGACTTCGGCTGCTCCGTGAGAGACACAGGCTATGGGATGCTAGATACGGGGTAGCACTTTTGTTATCTGCATTACACGATAGCCTCTGATGATCATTTATATCATTACACAAAGGGTTTTGATGATCATTAATTTCATTACGCAAAGGGATTTCATGATCATTAATTTCATTATGGGATGGGATTAGAGGATCGTTAATTTCAATATGCGATGGCTTTCGATAATCATTAGCTTCATTAAGCGGCAGGTTTTGATGATCATTCGTTTCAATATGCAATGGGGTTCGATACGTATTAATTTCTTCATGTGAGTGGTTTTGATAATCACCAGTTACATTAAGCGATGGAATGTGATTGTCGTTTTCTTTGCAATTCGACGTGCTCCAGTAGTCGTTGTCATAGTCGTCTAGTGGGAGATGTGGGATTCGGATCACGTGATTGGCTGGGCTAGTCACGTGACGGGTTCTCGACGTCGAGTCGCCATCGTCCATCATCGACTCATCCTGGCTGCAGGAGTCATTGCATGACGCCTCACTCTCGGCCTGCAGCTCGTATTGTGAGAGAGAAACGTCGCACGGTTTCTCAAACCGCGAGTCTGACGCTGAGATACTGTCGATTGTTTGGTCTCCTGGTGCGATATTTACGTCGGGTTTCAGCTTTGTTTCTGTAGAAATCTGGCTGGGGGTTGGTGAGACGGCAGTGGATGCTGTTGACAACGTTTCTGTACAGTGCTGGACGCTGGAGTCGGCATACGACAAAGTGTTATACAAGGTTGATCCGTCTGTCTGGCAGATAACTGAGTCATCCATCTGTCTAGCACTCAAAGACTCGAACTGAAACTCATCAGTTTCAGATTTCGTGTTTATAATTGTTACTGGCTTAGAGCTTCTTTTCCTCGCTGCGCTAGTTTTTTTCGAGCTGGATGTTTGTTCTTGAGGTTTATCGTTTTCCGCGCAGATATGTTTGGTCAAAGCTGGATCAGCAACGTTTTGAAGAGTGACGTTCGGCGCATGCGTGTCACCGTCTTGGGCTCGGCTCTTCTGGATTAAATCCTCCAGGTAGTGCCTGCCTTGTTTCTTCCTCGGGGTTGTCGCGCTTCGTTGCTTCGCGGTCAGCTCAGCCAACCGTTTCATCCGCACCAGTTTCTCAAGCATTTTCTCGCAGTAAAAAGTCCCGTCGGGGAATTTGAACAGATCGTCGGGATTCTTCGCTGCGGGTTTTTCCGTTTGTTTATTTTTATCTTTATTGGGATTTTCCGAAGTGTTTGAATGACGAGATGGTGTTGTGAGCGGTTTCTTGGCGTTAATTATGTGGCTCAGCTGTTTAGATCGTTTGTTTGTTTTACGTTTTGGTTTGGTCGAGTTTGTTATCTCAGAAATGGACAAAGTGTCGATGGGGGATGTTAAAAATGCATCAAAGAGCGTCGCCACGTCGACGTATCGTCGATTGGTCACCTTGGGGTCGAACTGTATCCGGTGCACGTGAAACATGCTCAAGGTCGGCGGCACCTTTTTGTCCCTGACCTTCACCGGCGCGTGAGAGCACACGGCGTAGCTCGCGCCGGAAGGCGACAAGCCCTGATGATAAATTCGTTTTTCGCTTTTTTTCGTCGCCGGCAAACGCGGCGTCTTCGCCGAGGCGGGCGCCACAGGTTCTGGCGAGTTCGGCGTCAGAACGTCGTACACTCGCTCCAGTCTTTGGTCGGAGTTCGCCACACCGGAGGCGCATTCTTTTTTTAGCTGCTCGCCAACGACCTCTAGCGGCACGTACTCGTGAGACTGAAACTTCACTCTCATTGGCTCCTTTTTTATACTCAAACAATCCACACACAGCAGAGCAACCGGCTCCCTAACGTCATTTTGTTTTAAACTAACCTGGAAATTATTTTTTGTCGGCTTAACTTCGCGAGTGTTTTTACTAGAGTGAATAACAATGGGGCCTATTTTAACACCCATACACAAGGACGACTTTGTTCGCGTTGGTTCGTCTTCTTGAGCCGTAGGATTCAACCACAAAAGTTGATGTTTAGATTTAATATTGACCTTCACCCCGGTCAGGGGCGTGTTAGCCAGGGGTGACGGGGGCACGAACCGTTTCACTAAATTGTTGTACAACTCGGGGCTCAGGTGAGGGGGTTTAGGCGAGGAAACGATGACGGGTGATGTTCTGTGTTTGGAGCAGAAGGCGGCGTTGGTGTTGTGATGGTTCCTGAGTGGGTCCTGAACCTTGGTGCCAGACTTCGTGGAGTTTATGCGCTTCCCCATGAGCATGGCGCCAAAGGATCCACTCGGTGGAGGTTCTTTTAATGTGGTGTTCATCTGTGCATATAGAAAACATAGAGATGTGTTATTGTTAATATCTATATGTGTGTATGCAGATATAAATATATATATATATATACATATATATATATATATATATATATATATATATATATATATATATATATATATATATATAGAGAGAGAGAGAGAGAGAGAGAGAGAGAGAGAGAGAGAGAGAGAGAGAGAGAGAGAGAGAGAGAGTAACAGAGAGGGGGGTGAATAGTTACTTATAACCCAGAGGCGTAGCGAGGGGGGGCGGGGGTGGGACCGCACCGGGTGACACCATTTAGGGGGTAACACCAAGGCAAATAATAGCAATATATATATAGAGAGAGAAAAACTTGAGGGGGGGGGGGGGGCAAATCGAAAGTTCGAGGTGGGGGGGTGCAAATCGAAAATTTGAAAGTTTGTCCCCGGGAAGGGTCGCTACGCCTCTGGGGGGGGGGGGTGACACCATTAAGTGCCGCACCGGGTGACACCCGACCTCGCTACGCCACTGGTATAACCTACATCGAACTATATAAATATAGGCTACACTTGCGCTATATGTAGTCTATATATTGATGACTGGACAATAGATAGCGATTTATCTTTAATTAGCCAGTGATAGAATCCTAATACTTTTGGTACACGAGTGGATCAGGACATTTATATGGAAACAAAGCAACTACCGTCCCTATATTTCTCAGACAGTGTGGTATAGGGCTTCTGTGATAGCCACTAATGTGTTAGTAGCAAACGCCGCTGATGGTAGCCATTAATGTCTTGGTAGCAAACGCCACATATGGTAGCCACTAATGTGTCAGCAGCAAACGCCGCATATAGTAGCCAGTGGTGTGCTGGTAGCATGTCTATGGTAGCCATAAATGTGTAGGTTCCAGCCTTCTATAGTAGCCTGTAGTTGTCTAAAAACAGCGACTTACAAAATAAAGCTGTTATAATCGATACCGGCATACGAAATGTTAATCTAATACCGACTTTTGTTTGTATGATACGAATCTATAGCGAGCCATTTAAACTTTAGTTAAACGGTTACGAATTTTTATTTAACTTTGGGTTAAACACAGAACTGTATATTATAAGGAGCTACTTAAGGTTTAGTTCAACACAGAAATATCAATTACCAAAATATGGTGCTAATTGATGGGGTAGGACCATACTTA